TTAAATTAAATTAAACATGCGCCGAGGGACCAGGGAAAAATAGATTCCCCCCTCCCTGCCGCCGCTGTAAGCAAATCAACATTTCTGCTCACAGGGAGAGCAGCGAATCTAAAGACATGGCCACTGACACGCATCCCCTTAAACCGCAGCGGCTAGGGTCCAGGATGGCAAGGAATTAGCGGCTTTCCTTTAATCCGGAAGCAGGCAATAAATAGGGAGAAAATTCCGAATCTTATTTTTAAAATAACATCAACTATTGTATATTGAGCAGTCTTCAAAAGACGCCACCCAGAACCAAAGCGCTGACTTTAAAATGGGTACAGCATTACTCTATTTCAATTCCTTACTTTAACACCATTTTCTTGAAACACAGGCACAGAATTGATCTTCTGCGCCATTTTTTAAAAAGGAGGGAGGGAAATTGGGAGGGAGGGAAGAAGGGAAGGAAGGAAAGAAGGAAGGAAGGAAGGGAGGGGGGGAGGAAGGAAGGAAGGAGCTGTAGAAACCGTACTTTTAAAAAGAGAGAGAAGGATAAAGACGTTGGTAATCTGGGTTTTTCTTAGGAGTGTAAAGAGAAATAATGCCTGTTTGGACAGAAGCAGCAAAAATCAGTAGTAAAATGAACAACCACAGTTTATTCAAAATACCTGCATCAAATCAATCCCTTTTTGAGGTTGTTCGTACCAAATGCTTTTTTTTTAAATTCTTTGATGATAATATTTGTCTTTACCATCTTAGGTAACCAGATAATAATCAAATCCACAGTTTTTTCCCTCCTTTTTCTGCCTTAATTTACCAGCCAAAAAGATCATCTGACCTTTGAGCTAATCCTCTACAATAAAATATTTTTTAAAAAATTCCTCTACAAGCCTTCTGTAGCATTCCATTTAACAATCTCACCAAAAGATCCATGAAAGAGATGAAAATGATAGCAAAATTATTGATCTGCCTACTCAGGAATCCAATCTCATCACCTGCTTGTCTTTAAATTTTAATTTCAGCATTCTCTAACCAAAGGAAGCCCAGTTGAGAAGTTATGCCAAGATTGGGGTAGGAGCAGGGCAGAAGGAAGGCAAACTCATTCAGGAGCTTTTTCCAGCACCAGTTGTTCTGAGAGGAAGTCATCACATTGGTTTAAATTAAGTTTCTCACATAAAATATTTCAGTTGATAATCCAGCCTCAACAAATCATGGTCACATTTCTCAGTGAAAGAGATCATCCACAGAGAGAGAAGGTGAAGGAGCAAAAAAAGGAGAAAGCAGGATAGGGAAGAAACATTCAAGTGTGTAGAAGAGATGAGGTAGGAAATGGAAATGGTGGGATTGGCAGCCCTTTCCAGACTCTGGAGGGTGCGCTGATATATGCTGGCCTGACCTCTGGGTCAACAACTAGTTTAACTCTATCTTGATCTGCCAGACTGGAAGCTTGTCCCTTGGTTCAAAGTGAGACCTGGCCTTTGACTTCACTTGAGTGAGCCTCCAGCTACTGCTAGGAGGTGCTTTATCAGGGACAAAGCAGGAAAAAAAAAAAAAATCACAATTTGGTACTTCATCTGTTTTCCCAAAAGAGGATGCTCATCCCTAAAAGGAGAACCCTGCCCACCCTGCACAAAATTAAGCTAGAAATACTGTTCAATAACCACCAAAACAAACCAAGTAAAACTAGAAGGGTGAGGAGCCAGAAGGAAGAAAGTGAAAGTTTGCACATATGTACAGCAGAAAAAATGTCCCCCTTCAATCACCCCAAAGAAATCTTCCAGACAATATTTCTCATTGTCATAACCCACCTCTTAAATCGATGTTGATTCTGCATGTAATGCAACTGATATTATAAATGTACCAAGCAGCTTTCCTCTTACCTGCCACTACATTTAACTCCTTCAGAACGGCTCTTTCCGAATCCCTCAGCACTGCAACTTTCAATAAAAAAGAAACAACACTTAAACTGTGTTCTGCTTGTTATTCCTAGGAAGAAAGTGACAGAAAGAAACTATTTTACTTTTAAAATCCATTATTTAGAACTACAGTATACCAAAGAATCAGAGTTAACTTGTTTGTCTGAAACCATAGAGACTGGAGGCCTCAAATACCTGTATAGATAGCAGGATTAAAGGTGTCACCTACTTAGACACGAGCTACATTATTCCAAAACATCTTTTATCCCTAATTGCTTTTTCCTCTCAATTTACAATGATCATATCACTTTGTATTTTCACTTGCTTCTATGTATTATAATTACCACATATAGATTTCAATGGAAAATGTTCAGTTCAAGATGTATACCAAGACTATACTTAGGGTAGGGAGATTGCAAACAGAAAGAAAGAAGCTAAACTTGTAGGAATCCGAACACGCTAACTTTTTATTCAATTTGATTCAAAATAATAATATTAATCTAATAGTGAAATAGTGATATAACATCAATCAACATTTAAAGTATTTTATGTTTCAAAGTATGGCTCAAGGAACACCCATTGCTTAAATGCACTTAGACATAACAAGACAATATTTTTTATTGGCATCATTGACACCTATGAACAATAGCCTAGTAAATAGATTAAGGTTTAACCTTCCCTTTCTTTGGTGGCTGTTTAGAGACTTTTAAAGAACAGATAACTCATTTCAACAGGAATCTACTACTGATATTTACCTCTACATAATCTTTAGCTAAGACTTGGAATGCCAAAAACAAGCTTTTGTTAGCTTGACCTCCTCCACCTCTTAACAACAAAAGTTGTCCCCAAACCCATGTTTTTATTTTAGATGTACTGATCTTCCAATGTAAGGCTTGGCCTTTTAAATACTAAATGCAATCAATGGCCAACAACCTGACTCCTTCTGGAGACTGAGAAGGAAAGAGAATGGTGAAATTTCTTTGAATTGTGACTTAGTACAAATTTTAAGAGGTCAGTAAATCCTGATGCTCTGAGCTAAATCTACTGGTAAATAATCAATTACATTCCTTAGACACTATAATCTTTATCTTGGTAAACAGAGAAAACACAGCTTTGCCAAATAGATCTTTCCATCTAACATCTTAAAGGTAATTATTTAAATATTACCACAACAGGGTTATATTTTGTTTAAATTAGAAATTAACTGAAGATAAAATGCACATGTCCATAGTTTAAAAAGGGGAAAAAATACAGATTAACTAGCCTAGTCTTTTATCTGAGTTTATTAATACCATTTAAAATATTACAAATAAATCAATTACATTTCATGCATTTAAAATGCAAATCTAAAATGCTCCAGAGAAAGGCTTTTCATTTCAATGTGAAATATCCAAATTATTTCAACATTACAATGAGCAATTAGTTTGCAGAATCTGCAAACATTTAAATGTAGTGTCAGAAGTATTTATTAACAGTTAACAATATTACCTTCAGGAAATACACAAAGGCCAAAGTTAGTCGAGTTTCACTTGGACAATTTATTTAATACATGGGTTTTGGCAGACCCACTTATTATGAAATATAGGAGAACTCTCACTTTAACTATGCCTGAACTGCCAGCAAATGCAAATAAGTACATGCTCCATTAAATTAAATGTCATCCAACATTTATCAAATATTGTCTTAGTTACAGCTTGATACCTATCTAAATTCATATTTGAGCAAAACTAGGCCCCGAAAGTGCGTTTGTGGCTCTGCACCTCCAGAAGTGAGTTCAAAAAACCTGCAGCTCATCAGAACTGCAACAATAACTCTTAATTTTCTTGTGACAAAAAAAAAAAAAATCAAGTTTACTTCAATATATTTTCAAATATTTACTGGAAGTAATGTACAAGAAAAATACTATACAAAATCATCTCCTGGACAACTGCACCTCACACCCTTACACTGGTGGAGTTATATTTAATTGGTAACTAATCTAGAACGACTCTCCAGTTGTACAAACCATTAGGTTCAGATATATTTTACAAAGGTTCTTTTTTATTTTCCTATTTTCCCTTTTTTGGCATTTAAACTACAGCCTCGTCTGAAATAAATGATAGCTTCTTCAATTGTTTGTAAGTTTAAACCACACAAAAAAAGTGTAACCCTACGATCTTCAATGAATTGCGAGAATTTACAGAAATGGGTACTATACAAATTGACGGCCGGACTAACAAAAAAAGATTGGGAGGTTATGTTTGGGAGTGGTGAAAAAACGAGGTAGAAAAGGACAAACATGGAGATAGTTAATCTGGTCTCACCGGAAAGGAGTATTTTTGCATAAGAAAAAAACACCTACCCTCACCCCCGCCCCCACCCCATAAGTTAAGTTAATGCGGTCAAAATAACTTTGGGATCAATACTAGCAGTTTCCAGAGAAAGGCTTGCTCTCCGTTAGAGGAAAAAACTATCATAGAAGGGAAACCAAGTGGAAGGTTGCTATTTTCCCCTCAGTTTTTTAGTTAAAAATAAAATATATGCTATAAAGATGAAAGAAAGCTGCTGCAGCGATTCGACAAGACTGCCCTTTGCTGAAACTTGCATCGGTTCCACCTCAAGGAACAAAGAAAAAGAGGCAGAGCTGATATTGGGAGATCTAAACTCTGCAAACTCTGGGTCTCGGTGCTGCCAAAAGGACACCCCACCAAGCCCCGACAGCCTGCGCAGGGCGTCCGGCGATGCCCAGGGGCCTGGCAGGGTGCTCCAAAGTCGAGGTGCCTAGGTCAGCGGCTCTGGAACTAAGTCGGCGACAGCCCGGGTGGCGCTGTTCTGCCCAGGCCTCCAGCCTCGCCCTCCCCACTGCTCTGGCTCCGGCTTGCTCAGCCGGGCCGCTCCTGCCCGTGCCGAGGCCCGCAGTCTACCAGGCACTGGATTAGTCCAGCTCTACCTCCAGTGGCCGCTTCCCTCTAAAAGTTACGCCCATCACAACCTGGGGGTGGAGAAGGGGAGGACAAGCAGGGAAGAACGAGAAATAAAGGCCCGGCAAGGCGCGGGTTCCAGCTGCACAGGGTTCAGACAGCGTTACCCGCGGAAAGGGAAAGCCAGGGCCTGGGACAGGATGAGTTTTACTTACATGTCCATATCCCCTTTACAAAGTTAAGTCACAGAAGGAAGAGGAGGGGCAGAAACAGAAAGAGACAGAGAGCGAGTCGGATGCAATAGGGAGAGGCTGGAGTTGAAGCCGGGACAGACAGGGCCCAAGAGGACTCGGTGGGAGGAGGTCGGGGAGAGAGGCGGGCGCAGGGTGGGCGTCACTCTAGGCCGTTGCGGTGCCCGGGCTCGGGGGGCTGCAGCAGCTCTGGGGAGTGGCAGGGCGGGCTGCCCGCTGCGCTGTGCTCGCTGTCGGTGTCGCTGCCCTTCTTGCCGCCGCTGCCTGAGCCCGCCGAGCCGCCGCCGCCGCCGCCGCTGTGCGTCTTCACGTGCTTGCTGAGGTGGTCGCTGCGCATGAAGCGCTTATTGCAAACTGGACAGGCGAAGCGTTTCTCGCCGGTGTGGGTCCGCAGGTGCCGCTGCAGCTCGTCGGAGCGCGTGAAGCGCTTGCCGCAGAAGAGCCAGTTGCACACGAAGGGCCGCTCGCCCGTGTGCCAGCGCAGGTGCGCCTTGAGGTGCGAAGTCTTGCCATACACCTTGCCGCAGCCCGGG